CCTCAAGGCTCTTATTGTTTCCAGTGGTTAGAAATGTTATTTTTCGTTTTTCTTTATTTAGTTGACATGAAATAAGGTTTTTAATTTAGAAGTTTAGTCTATTCTTTGCCACCTCCTGTTTGAAGAAAAGTCAGTGCATTGTGCCTGTCTCTCCTAGGGGCAACTGGACCTTCTCAGGAGCAATGCAGGTCTCCTGTATAGGATCAAAGAGTCTCAAAATGCAAGGTAAGCTTGTGTTTGCTGGGTAAACATATTTGGAACACAGTCCTGCAACTCCTGTGCTGCATTGTTGCTGAGAAGACACTTAGCAGTGTAATATGGATTCTGTCACACAGATGTCACAGAACATAACTGTTTTTTTCAGGAGGGCACAGTTCACTCCCCTGAGCTCACCTTCAAAGCTGCTCTAGGGGTAGTGTTGTCTACTGAGCAGAGGGTGCCATGGGCCTATAGCTCTAACTTCCTTGCAGAGTTCTTGGTCCAAATGACAGCAAAGTCATCTGTGCAAACATATGTGTATGCTCAGGTGAAATCCAGCTGAAGCCTGACCAAAGCATCTGCAAACCGTGGTGCTGTGACTGCCTCACTGCTCATGATACAGGATCAGCACTTGCACTTAGAGCTGTCCTAGGAGGCCACTTGACCTCATGCTCTCTGGTTTATTAAAATGTGCCTTCAGACCATGTGGAGCCTATGTAAATGTGAGTAAAAGATGGCTAGATATACTCCTGGAAAGAAGTATCCTTCAAAATTATGCTCAGGGCAGGTGTATCATCCTCTCTTTCAAATGCTTCAAAGATTGCTGAGTTCAGGCTTTCTCGGGCCAGTGGAAAGGCATGTTCTAGAGCTGGAAGCATTCTGCTATCCCTTTGAAGATGTTCTGTCTAGAGACAGATTACCCCAAATTATGCTCCGTGCTGTGTTTGACCTTCCACAGTTGTGTTAGTACAGGACCCTGAGTTCCCCATTGTTATGACAAGTTGAGTGACTCCTGCTTAAGTCACTTGTCTTTCACACTGTGATCTTGTCTCTTTACTGTGGCTTCACACTGGCAAGCTTGGTGTGATCCAGAGAGGTTTACTGTCGTGTTTTATATTTGCCAATGGCTGGCTTACTCCCTAG